AGATAGATAGATAGATAGATAGATAGATAGATAGATAGATAGATAGATAGATAGATAGATAGATAGATAGATAGATAGATAGATAGATATGGCAGGTTTAAGTATTCATTCACACACATTATACAGCCCAACGCATCTCCATGGAATCTGCAGTTGATTATTATTTGGAGCTACTCGGCCTTTTTCTTCTTTGATTACCTTTGATTTGATTTGTTATGGTTACTGACATTGTAGTTTTTTCATTTGTTTGCCACTCAGAGATGCCTGGGCGGCCAGAGTAATTAAAATAAATTGAAATATTTAGCCTTTAGCAGTAGCATTTAATCATGACGGCACAGTGGTTAAAATGCAGTATTGCAAGCTAATTCTGCCTAGTGCTAGCAGTTCGATCCTGACTGGCTTAAGGTTGCTTCCGGTTTCCATCCTTCTGATTGTGGACCCCAGATTGTTGGGGGGAGGGCAAAAGGCTGACTCTGTAAAACCGCTTAAAGAGGGCTGTAAAGCACTGTGAAGCGGTATATAAGTCGAAGTGCTGTTGCTATGGCTATTTAGGCTTATATATCGCCCCATTGCATTTTACAGCCCTCTCTGAGCAGTTTACAAGCTAGAAGCATTACGTGCATACTGCCCCCAACAATCTGGGTCCTCATTTTGTCGACCTCCTAAGGATGGAAGGCTGCGTCAACCTTGAGGATCGAACTTCAGGCTGTGAGCAGAGTTAGCCTGCAATATCGCACTTTAACCACTGCACCACCATTAAAAAATATTTATATTTAAATATATACAGTAAATAAAGCAAGCTAGCCAGCTAACTTGGCAGACCCTTCAGAAAAACAGTGTGTGTGTGTGTGTGTTGGGGGGCACCTCAAATCGAGTGATGTGCTGTTTTGTGAGAAGCAAACAATATATCATCTTACCAGCTTTTACTTACTGTTCCATAGCCTACAATGTTAACCTGAGGGACCAAGTTAGGGTAGACATTTTTGATATACCAATCAAAGCTTTTGCAGTTCAGTCGTTTCCTGAGTTCTTTTCGAGAAGAAACATCTCCGTAATCTATGCCGGAATTCTGGAAAAGGAAGACATCGGTTTCAGAGAGATGGCAAACACGGAATTCAAATGATTCAATTAAGAGATATTTCAACGTATGCTTAGAGAGGTTTGGGAGAAAACCTCGGGAGAAAATCTGAGGGACTTTCCACGGTCTTATTCAGGCACTGAAAATATCCATGACAATTTACTTTCCGCAATAATACAGGGCTGTTCGGAGGAAGAGGAAGAGAAAGGTCCTAGCTAGACAAGATGGGCAGTACATAAATCAAATAAATAAATTCAACAAAATAAAATAACCTAAAAATAAAATATAAAATAAAAATAAATAACATAAAATAATAAAATAAATAACATAAAATAAAATTCAATAAAATAAAATAACTAACAAGGTAAAATAAAATAATAAATAAGATAAAATAAAACAATAATAAAGTAAAATAAAAAATAATAATGAAATAAAATAAAATAATAAAACAAAATATAAAATAAAATAAAAATAAAACAAAAAAATAAAATAAAATTCAATAAAATAAAATAACTAATAAGGTAAAATAAAATAATAAATAAGATAAAATAATAATAATAAAGTAAAATAATAACTAATAATAAAATAAAAAATAAAATAAAATAAAATAATAAATAAAACAAAACAAAACAAAACAAAATAAAATAAAAACAAAGTAAAATAAAAAATAATAATGAAATAAAAATAATAATGAAATAAAATAAAAAATAAAATAAAATAAAACAAAATATAAAATAAAATAAAATAAAAATAAAACAAAAAAATAAAATAAAATTCAATAAAATAAAATAACTAATAAGGTAAAATAAAATAATAAATAAGATAAAATAATAATAATAAAGTAAAATAATAAATAATAATAAAATAAAAAATCAAATCATCAAACAAATAAAGGAAGAATATGCTGTAATAAGAGCTCAAGAAAAATCAATTCAAATATGAAAATTGTGACTTAGGGCAGAGACAGAGGTTCCTTCAAAGTTTTGATTGGCGGATAAACAATTCTTGTCCACCTGTCAAAGATCCACCTGATCTTTGAATATCTACCGGGCTGGGAAAGAATAATTTTTTTCTTGGGCTTCAGTCAATAAAGGTTTGGCCCTATTTTAATCCATTTTTGGTCTCTTCCTCTTCACTTCAGGCTCAACTATGATACTTGATTAGTTTCTCCTTGATTGGTTTCCACCCATTGTTTCTGAGGGGCTGCCACAAAGAAGAGGGGGTCAATTTATTCTCCAAAGCACCAGAAGGCAGGACCAGAAATGATGGTTGGAAACTGATCAAGGAGAGAATCCACCTAGAATTAAGGAGAAACTTCCTAACAGTGAGAATAATTAACCAGTGGAACCACTTGTCACCAGAAGTTGTGGGTGCTTCATCACTTGAGGTTTTTAAGAAGAGACTGGACAACCACTTGTCTGAAATCGTACAGGGTCTCCTGCTTGAGCAGGGGGTTGGACTAGAAGACCTCCAAGGCCCCCTCCAGCTCTATTCTGATGGATTGATTGACTTCTTACACAGATAAAATTTGCCAACAACCTCAAGAGGTACGTTCCAGGCATAGTAGACCATGTATTTATATTCGTCCATCCACACTTCTGCGACACGTAACGCATTTCTCTTCACAGCAAGGGCCAAATCCAGCACATAGGGCTTGTGGGCTCGTTCCAGGTGTGCAATCCTTGAACACGGCAAGACTTCAACTCTCCCGCCGCATTGCCAAGCCTGTCATTGTAAAATAAGAATAGAGTCTTCAGGGGTTTTTTTCATAAGAAAAAATATGATTTAAAGGCCAAACAGCTTGTGTAAAGATGTAATGTAATGTGTCTGATGCAATAATAGGAATGACTCAGCAGGTGTGTGTATCCCTTTAAGAGCCTGAGTATAAAAGGGAAGTTTTTTTGCTGGAGTCTTTCTCTCTCGTCCGTTTGACTGCTGTAATTGCTGTATATCGAAGTTTGCTGAATTATCACCACGTGTATGTATTTTGTTTCTAATATATTTGTAGATATTGTAATATAAACCACCATTTAATTACAAACCACTGTTTATTATATTTACTCCTGGGTTACCTCAGCGAAAAAAGACTGTGCATGCTCTGACAGAATAACTGCGAGACATATGATTAATCAATGGACTAAGTTTGCTTCCCTGAGTTGCGGGTGCTCCATCACTGGAGGTTTCCCAAAACAGATTGAACAACCATTTGACCAGGATAGATAGAAGGTTTCCTACCTTCAGCAGGAGGTTGGACTAGACGACCTTTAAAGTCCTTCCCAGCCCTATAATTCTACATTCTATATAATTCTTTTTTTCTCAAGAATCCTGGCTGCGAACCAGTAATTGAGGAAAGAAGCCCTACCCACTAGGCAGGCTCCCAAGAATCCCCTGATTGGCTGCGTCTGTAAGTGTTTTTCCCTTGGGCCACACAACACCACACACTTAGTTTGAGAAAAAACACCCAGACTCACATCCTCTTCTACTCCAAATGATCTACAATACAGGCAGTCCTGAACTTAACAACCACAACTGAGCCCAAAATTTCTGTGGCTAAGCGAGATATTTGTTAAGTGAGTTTTGCCCCATTTTACGACCTTTCTTGCCATGGCCGTTAAGGGAATCACTGCAGTTGTTAAGTCAGGAACAAGACTAAGTGAATCTGACTTCCCCTTTAACTTTGCTGGTCAGAAGGTGCTGTGATTCCTCTCCAGTCAGTGGACCCGGCAGCTGAGTCTGAGAAGGAGGAGGGGCCTGGAGTGACATCAGAGTCAGAGGAAGGCTCTGAGGAGCTCCAAGTCTTACAGTCGGACGAGGAGCCTGGCCCCTTTACTCGCGCTCAGGCTGAGACACAGCTGGGCTGGGAGCCTGAGTTGGACAGTGATGAAGAACAGCTGGGACAAATCCAGGATGCACGAAAGCGCAGTCAAGAGAAATGAATAGGACAGAGGGATGCAATGGGGCGGCTCCAAAGGCAAAGGAGAAGGCATTAGGAAGCCACGCCTTGGCTGAATTATAAAAGGGAAGGTGTGGGAGGTGCTGGTGGCTGAAGGCAGCCGTTCGTGTTGAGGAATCGAGTTTCTGTGAACTGTGTTTGTTTGCCTTGGACATGGACTCAGGTCTGTGAATAATAAAAGGGGATTGTTTTTTTCCTGTGGTTCCAGGGGCTTCTCCTTGTAAGCATAACAAGGACTCACATAGGCTGGGACAGAACAGAAAGTTGCAAAAAATGAACACATGAACTGGTACAAAAAAAGACAAGGGAATTTAAAAAAAAAATCTCACCCTGATGCCTAATTCCACATTTTCTCCACCGTAAATGTGCATTCCGCCATCCAGAACACCAATCTTCCCCAAAAACTCTCTGTTTGCGGCAAGTATTCCCATGATAGAAGGACTCCTGATATGAAGAACACCAAAAGGGTCATCAGCTTTTATTCATGAACATCTATCAAGATGGACAATGTTTGGATGAAACATTAAAGAGAACCAGGGAATGGACACGGAGACTTTTATTGGTTTTCATTCCAGAGGACCAAGGGACAGCAAACTTTAGATCGTTTGGTTGAGAGTTACGATGGTGCCTCCCTAGAAATTCTCAGAGTGTATCTTGAATGGTGAAGGTTCTTTGCTTTAGTTTAGCAAGATTCTGTCTACAGGTATATAAGGAACGGTTGCGGGAATTGGGTATGTCTAGTAATGTAGAGAGGGATAGAGATAGATAGATAGATAGATAGATAGATAGATAGATAGATAGATAGATAGATAGATAGATAGATAGATAGATAGATAGATAGATAGATAGAT